AACAACACACTATCAAAATTCATAGACTGAAAATCTAAAGAATCTGAGAGCCCAATCCTAAATTGCGGAGTTTTCTGAAAAGGAAAGTCTTCTTCAATGACTTCTCCAGTCCTGGGTGGAGCAAGAGGGAGTGTCAAAGTCTAACTGATAACCCGTTTCCGTTCCTCTTGCTCTTCTCCGTTGCTCTTGCATCCACAAGCCCCGCTGGACATCGGGAACCCACTGCAATTGCGTCCCGAATTAGTAGCGGACGTTGACAAATACTTTAGTCTTGCACGTATATATGCTTGCTGCGCGTATGCGCCCCGTCTGATGTTTGTAATCGCCAATCTATCTTGACTAAGCGTGGTGATTAATACTCAAACGAAGACCTTTCTCTCAGCAGTACTATAGTCTTTACTATATTATGTTCAGTCTGATGATGACAGGCCCTACATAATCTTGCCTTATTTTAAAACATCGAATGCGACACAAGTTTAGCAGATACCTTTACGGCCGATCCATCAAAAACGGGAAATTCTACCAATCCTTTTTCAGGCTTTCGAAATTAATCTGAAACTTAAAATCTCGTCTTAGCATATGCGATCTTTCGACTCGCTAGACGAACACGTGCAAAGATATTCGTAATTCCACGTCTGGTTTTACTAAGAAACTAATAATAGACGTGTTATTGTTGGTATCGTAATAGTTTCATGGAATTTCATTCAGAAATTGGGTTTCTCAATGGAGAATACGACCTGGTTTACTAGACATTTTTTTTTGTACTTTGTAATGGGCAGGCATTTGGCCTTTTTTGAACGCCAGGTAAACGATGATGCGACCTACGATGGAGCACGTCTAACCTTTTGAGCATCCTACTTAATCGTGCCTTAAAGACGACCAGGGTACATGCTGAGGGGAACACAGACTCCGTCAAAGAATTCCACTAATTAGCGGTTCCTATAATAAAACTTTACTTTTTGGGCGGCTTAGTGCATGTGGGTTTAGTCTTCTCTTGACAACTCCAGCGGGAATACCGAATGATATTCCACACGGTACCAGCATGTTCACGAGTCACAACGTATCAGACACTAGCTCAGGTCGTGGCAGTACACGTGACGCCGGCGATTAGAGTCGCCCCGGCCGACGCGACGTGGCGTTATTGCCATGAACAATCATTGCATTGTTAGGTTTTTATGGCTCTACGATTTAATATGCGCTAACTTTGTTGAGGCTGAATTTATGTAGATTTATTTTCTGTAAGTATTGTCTTTCTATGTTACAGAAAATGAAGCTGTTTATGTCCTGCTGATGAGATTCATATTCATGTTCGTTATATGTACAAATTAATCGCCAGCGTTCTTAAACCACGATCAACAGATCACCGGTTAAATCTTCCATTTAGGGTACATGGTTATAAGATTTAGACTGTTTGACAACGTTTCCGTTAAACTACCGTGTTCCGTGTAACTACCACATTATTTTGGAAAACATGTCCTTTAGATTTTGTGCATACTACTGGCGAACCAGGCTAGATGTGGGAGGATAAGGAAGGTACCTTTATAAACAGGCGACAATTATTTAAAGGGCCTGTTTTACCACTTTCGTATCAGTACCCGATAAACTTTATTAGGGCTAATACCCTAAATTCCATAAGTCTTTGACTGCCGACGAAAACTGATGAAGGCTCATCCTCCGCTAGCGTCGGACACCATTGTCCGACATGGCGTTCTAAGTCTTAAACAATAACTTTAACTATACAATCGAGAAAATCGTATGCAAAACATGTCTTGTGATTACATGTAATAGTTCCTTTTGGCATTTTATCACCACCGGCATCAAACATCCGACTATGTAAATACGCAGTATGGCACGGGTCACCAAATGTACTACGCATCCTGTCTAACGTATGTAACGGTAGTTAAATATCTCGTTTTACAACTTTAAGAGCTCATTGTCCTCGTCATCAAGGAGAAATTGTTGTTATGCCTTCAATTGAAAATAAAGACAAAGTTCTTTTTACTCCTCTAAGAAAAAAAACATTAGACGGAAGTGTTTTTTGGGTTGACTTGACAGGCAGAGAGAGACGCTGGAACGTGAAGAAGTTCGTAAACTCGTGTGCATCACCTTTTTCGGTGCTAGCATGACTGCTTTGTGGAAGAAGGAGACAGCTTGTGGAAGAACGAGTATAACTTGAACTTTGAACTAACCCGAGACAGTCTACTGGTGGAATAGTGACACATCTTCATAAGAGTTTGGGGAAATCTCCACAGATCGTATTTCAAGAAGTATAGCTTTATCCGACCCTGCTACTGACCAGTATCTTCCAAGCATGTATTCCTTTTACCAGTTATTACAAATTCCGTGGAAAAAGCAAGGTCAAGGACGGCGCTGAAGAGAGAAAAGACATGGACGGTAAATTTTTCCTAACCTTCATGAATAATAAAACCAGATTTCAAAAGTTTAAGTTAACATAGAATAAATGACTAGCATTTAATGTTACGGCTTACTTTAGTATGCAACAAGTGTGTTACTATTAAGGTGACGTTGAGCAACCTCGTTAGGGGAAGGGGTGTGCGGTTCACCACGTTTTCCAACACTTTAGTTTGACCTTGGGGAGCGTTGGACATTTAGTTCATAGTATCGTGAGCTTATTGTTACTGGAAAAGGCTTTGATGAGGCAATTTATCTTTACTATGGGCTAATATTAGATATAAAGCATTTTCATTATTTGAATGTTCTAATCTCTGGAACTACTGGTCCGATTTGGACAATTGTTTTTGAGTTGGATAGTCGATTTATGAAAGAAGGCGAGCTTAGATTAATAGGAACGAAGCAGCGTAAGAAACTGTGCAGGAATAGCTGTTGGTACAGATTTGGTTTGGATTATTCTTGAGAATTATTATAAGATAGATTTCTGATTTAGGTACGCTTAGATATTTTTTGCGAAGAATTTGTTACAACGTCACAAACGTTCATCAACAATGACAATAACAGGAGATATGACAAGTAGCTATATGTTGGAAATATGAAACCTTGAAAACTTAGAATAACAGAAGATAAAAAGAGTTCACCAAACTGCAGTCTAAGCCTATCTTATATTGGTGTATATTCGTTTGCATGTTGTCAAGCTATTAGATAAAAGCCTTCGTGCTACCCACGCCCTGTAGCTTGGCAGCGTGACATCGCGTAAGTGAACCGGTAGCTGGGACCTCTATCGTGTAGGTACAAAACGTAAATACTGCAAGACTAGGAATTTAAATTAAACTGGAAAATATATTAATGTTAATAATAGCAAAGAGGATACTGAAAAATGTCTGTAAAAAAAATAGTTCGGCTTAGTAAAAATTAAATATTTGAAACAACGCGACAGACAATCCCGTACAAACTTTTTAACATACTGTTAATTTAAAATTCGAAAAAAGAACTTAGTGAATTTGACTACGCATGTAAAATTACAAATTCTTAGCATATTCTTAGCATGTTTTAGGTAACATTTAGGAAGACGCCTCAAACATTTCCTGACACAAACAATTCGAATTTCGACCTCTAAGCGAATTAGATTTATTAAAATACGCTATCTAATCGCTACCAACACTTGTAAAACATATCGATTATAGTTGTTATCATACAAATGCTTCTAAGCACGTGTTTTTCGTGACGTATTGTTCCTACACTACGAACACGCGACCAATTTTCAAGCGCTTAGCTATGAACTGTCATGTGCAGATAAAAGCACATCAAAGTATACTAAAATGGCAAAATTTATCAGCACATTTTCAACCTTAACGTTTTGTAATAGAGACAGAAATCTCTTGTTCTACACGACAGTTTTGTAACGACTCGAAAGTGAATCAATTTCATTTGAATTAGTTATGTCTGTATTTGCGAGCAAATCGATTTTTCAAACTATTTTATGGTTATTACGATGTAGCTGGGGGCAAGCGCGTTTATCGCAGCCTTAGCCTGAAGCAGTAGAAGGAACAAGGTGATTTTTAGTCAACAAAGGTCTGATACTCCCTCTGAAGAGAGAGACGTCATTCAAAGATTTCCAGTTTTTCACCCTCAAAAAAGACAGTAGGGTAGATATACATTGGGTTAAGCGCAATAAGTCACGGCGGCTTCGGCCCAGAGCAGGAGAAGGAACAGGGGGATTTTTAGTCACTCTCTCTCGCCTAACCCTGGGCGGGAGAAGTAATTTGATGATTTTCCCCTGACAAAAAAAGGGTAGGTATATCTGTCGAGATATTTGGTGGTGGCGGTGATCAGCAACTCCTTATATTGGTGTCGTAAGAACCGACTATAGAACTAACAAAGAAGGAGATGGAATAGTATGACATATAACAACATGAAATCTAACCTGCCTGCCAATCTTTGAATTATTGGATTGTACGTTAAGGTGTATGTGGTGAAATTTTTTCTACATCTTATTCTGAAAGAGAGTGAGTAAACGTCCTAGTGCCCCGAAGAATATTTATGCTAGTCTGCTAGGTCTGTTTTTTATATGATACTAGCTACTCTCGCGCAGTTTCACCCGCTGCTCGGCTCCATTTAATCGCAGCGTAATGTTTTATAGCCTATAGCACTCAAGATCATTGTAGCTATCTATCAGTGAAAGAATTTTGGCAATCCGACCAGCGGTTCCAAAGATTACCCCCTACATACAAACTTACAAATTTTACCTCTTTATAATATTAGTACCTATAGAAGACAGCAAATGGTTCGACAGATCATGTGATGGTAAGCAAACTGCGCTGCTCGTGTACACCTGTTACACCAGAAGAGTGCGTTGATGGCCTCGGAAGGAAGGATTAAACCTCTATTAACTTTACTCACACTTCGAAACGCAACGCAAGGTTTTCGCCGATTTTTTCTGTGATGCCACTTCGATCGTGCCAACCAATTCGTAGTGAAGTGTCTCTCACACTCAAAAACTATAGTAGAATAGTCTTAAGTTTAAGCAGTGGACTTTTACCGGCTGTTAAAGATGGTTATTTCAATCTACTAAAGCCATGACTTACCTTTCTATCCGTTCAGACAAGCAGTACTGCCACCGTTGACTATTACACCTAAATTCTCGAACCCTCCTTAAAACGGGAGAGTTCAATTCATCACAGATGATCTTCAACGCGGCCTCTTCTAAAACGTCTTGTACAGCTATGAGGGATAACCTGGTGACAACACAGGAATTGTATTAATTACGAATACTTAACGTTATTTTATGAGGTTACTGCTAGTTGGGTGCGTAATGTTAGCTGTGTCGCGTCGTATCGAGTAAAGACACTCATGAATAAATGAGCCCCTGTTGTAGCTTGAAATTTGTCGAGTTTGTATCATGAGAATTGTATAACTAAAAAAAATTGATAGACTCGGGTTTTACACCCATATTCCATATTTATTACTTAGTAGTTATGACTTATCTATACTATGTTATAAAGCTGACGAGTTAGTTTGAACGCGCTCGTCTCCGGAACTACAGGATCGAATTGAAAACAATTCTTAAAAATGGATACTTAGGCCTATTGAGGAGCATTGCAGGCTATAAAACATTACATCCAACAGGGGCTGACCAGTTAATGACACCGCACGGTAGTGACTTTCTATCAAAAACTAAGAGTGATCCAGAGATTTTTTATTAAAATAGCTTATTAATATGGAGTCGACATATAATTACACATTCATATGTTACGCGGTAAAGTCCACCGCTATTGAATACACCCCAGAACGGTCGGGGCTTTATTATCAACTGTGATAATAATATGCTGTCAACTGTCAAGAACTGTCAACTGTCAAAAGATTGACAGTAGTGCCGCGGTGACAGGAAACGCATAAACAATAGGTAGCGGTGTTATAATAATAGGGAAATATTCATAATTATTGTTTACCTACCTATTAGACTATGAACTTGAAGGTGACTGACGGAAAATTATACATTTATAGTGTCTAGGTATTCAGTTTGATGTAGACAGGTGTGTTATTTTAAAACCTTCAAAATGTGATTTCGTTTAAATTTGAGGGAATTTTAAACCTACAGAACTAATGAAGGGAAAGGAATATTAATTGTATTTTTCTATCGTCACCGCGATACGTGACAAGCGCTTACCCTACCGTGATTATAAGGTTGACAAGTTTGTTTCAATGCGCTTACCTCTGGAATTACTAGATCGAGAAGGATTTCTTATGGTCGGATAGGCAATTATTACGGTACGATCTATAGGAATCGATCCACGGGTACACGGGAGTGTAAAATAATCATAGCGTATTGTACAGCCAGCAAATTAATTTTATATGTAGGTAAGATTATAAAGATTGCCTGAATACAGAGTCAATAGTTATCATTAAGTATGGTTTGGCCAAAAAATATTGTGTCAGTAGTTACTGAAGCAATGGTCATTTTCGTATACCTGTATATCAAGTTATTACGAAGACTATAAGTTTGCTTAAAACCAGTAAGGGGTTGAGATATTATTATTATTTTGAGATTTATTTATTTATAAAAACCTTTACGCCAATACATTATACGTAGGTACGAATGACATTGAAAAGGATTGAGGAAACAAGCTTGTACTCTATATTTATATATCACACTATAATTACGTACCAAAGTGCATAAACAAACAAAACGTTGCTATTTTTAGTACCTACGTCCTTGAATTTTATTTAAAATCATTTCTTAATATAAACTTTATTGACATAACTAAATTGAATGAATATATATTTTTTAATAACATTGTTTTATCATTAAACTAATTCTTGATCATCATGAAATATGACCATAGGATACCTATCTACGGTGGAGAGGTGGATGATGGAACCGTGGATTGTCTGGCGTAAAGCTGCGTAAAGATAGATATCGAGTTTGGGCACGTTAGACAGATCCGCTTCCCGTTTTTATTTAATCAACTGTGATTTCTTATAAAAGACTACCAGTTTCCTTATATTAATAGGCTTTTTATAACGAAAGAAGTTTTAATCAGGCTTGAAATAAGAAGTCTAGACAGAGAATTCCTAATACACAAAAAAAAACGAAATTAGGCTTGTCGCTCTTTCAATGGATCAACGAACGAAGCTTTCTAACTGGTTATCCATAAATGCTTATCCCGTGCCCTATCACAATCTCTATAGCCCCAAATCCCCAATCTCTAATTTTACTACCCACAAGAGGCAACGCACTAGTCACTCGAATATTGTATATTGTGAAATGAATTAATAGGCGACGCTGATTGCTTACCATCAGATAAGTCTGCTCAGGGATAAGTCTACTCGTTTGCCACGATACGCCATAAATATTGAATTATTTTTATAACTACCATGTGAGTGATAATTTCTCATAATAACAAAGCAATGAAAATTTCAACAATAACGAGTGTGTATATCATAACTTTGACATAACAATGTGGTTTCATTCTGAACGAAATGTGGGTAAAATATAAATTAAGTGCTTATAATAATGTGATTGTGAGGATGTTAGGTGACGGCAGAAGAGGACGGAGGAGGGGGTTTGTCACCCATTCTCTTCCAGTGGGCTTTGTAAGACCCAGCGCTGAGTGATTTTTAAACACCCCGACTTTTTGTCACTTAGGGCTGATTTTTCAATAGTCTGATAAATGTTAGGAATAAAATTGTTGCTGACACTGTCTTATACAAACATTCTGACGCGACAGCATCATAATTATTACCCAGGTAACTTTTATCTCACCATTGCAAAATCAGCCCTTAGTTGAGTGCAATGAAGATATTGGATATAGGAAAGTGCGCTCACTGCGGTGACGTAACCATATGGTGAGTTATATTTTCAGCGTGACTGTCAGCCGACCTGTACACTATTATGGGAGTCTGTTCAAAAACCCCTTTGTGTTATATTTTTTTGATAATTTTATTTCGAAATGCAATACATCGTGGCCCACAAAAAGTTTCAGTGAGCGCCACAATTCATGGTCACAAAAAGTCGCAATCAACTAGGGGATTACATATTGCAGAAATGATGGACGACAGCGCTCTTTAATAAACTCTTAACTGGGAAATCAAATCCGCCAGCCAATCGATTATGGTAAGCAACAGTTTTTGTAAGAGGACATTATGACTTTTAAACAATAGGAGAAACACTTCCGTTCGGGAGAATAAGTTACCATCTTGTACACACATTTGATATCAATTATATTCATAAAAGTATTTAATAAAGATATCTTAAACAGACTTATGAACTTTTAGCCAAAAATGGCAACTAATGCGAGTACAACTACGAAACATAAACAACTATTTACTTACTTATTTTCCAAAATAGTCCTGCAGACGACTTCCCTCACACCGGGATTCGTTATCTTCTCCACACTGAGCTCATGAAGATTCCACGAGGCAAGTCGACAACATTTTACTCCGTCTCTCTCATACATAAAGTTCTCTTCTACAATTGGCCTATGTGAGTATGCAGATAGCAAGTCCAAAATATCATTCACTGGTACCGTAGCAAAACCGTTTGGTAATGTCATCGGATACTTAGTATTATTGGGCATTGATAAGCTTTTTCTATGAGGTGGTGTCTTCGGAGTACTTGAGACTCCATTGGGCATACTCTCTACCTCGTTCCAACCATTGACATGTCCATTAGTTAAATGTTGCACACTTTCACACTTTCTTGATTCCAAACTAAGGTGAGGTTTGACCGCACTCAATCTCACAATATCCATTCCACGTACTTTAATTAAATCATCTAAGGATTTAAAAGGACCTTTTTTGTTACGGTAGTCTACTATGTTTGCGGCTATTTCTTGGTTGAGCCCCGGTACACATTGTAACTGGAATACACTTGATGAGTTTACAGAACATAGTTTGCTTTCAGACTGTATCCGCACACTATCTAAAGACTGTGTCAGTGAACTTGCTCTAGATATTTGTTTTCTTATATTTGTGCATATCTCTGGCCTTAGTAATTCTAGTTTGTCAGCACCAATACCTGAAAGAAAAAGTAATTTAATGAAGGTTCATTATAACTTTAAGTGTGAGACATGCTTCGACACGAATGGGCCGGCTCACGGCCTCACAGAAAACCGGCGTGAAACAACTATAGCGTTGTGTTTTGCCGTGTGAGTGAGGTTACCGGAGGCCTAATCCTTTCTCTTCCCCAATCCCTCCCCAGTCCCTAAATCTCCAAATCCCCAATCCCTAGAAGGTCGGCAACGCACTCGTAACTCCTCCGTTGCAGGTGTCCATGGGCGGCGCTGATTGCTTACCATCAGGTAATCAGTCAGCTCGTTTGCCGACCTATTACATAAAAAAATATGACTTTAATGTGGATACATTTTTAGATTGACTTTGAAAGTGATATTTATTTAGGACACAACATTTTTTTGTTTGATGTATTTTGATGGATATAATCCCAGGAAATATTTTTATTGCATGAAATGCACAAAGAAGGACAGTTTAGATTATTTAGCTGAATCATATTAGTGCCAAGTATGTATGTCAGCATGATTAAGGATGTACATAATTTAAGACCCTTATCTCTTTCCTAAGCAATAATAAAAGAAAATTGGATGCATAATAACAAATTGCAGCAATATAATAATTAGATGTTTTATGAATCATTGTTTTACAAAAATATCGGCATGTAGTAACTTAATTTTATTCTTTACATCCAGACTTTTTTTACAAATGTAAATCAAGGTGCAATAAAATTCAACCTTATGATATAAATAATTTTATAATCTGGGGTGACTCATTTACTTTAGGGAGTGAGTGCCAAACACACATAATACAAGTAACTTTGGATTACTTATGGTTGCTATATTAGCTAAATTCAGCCTAGAAATGTCACATAAAATAAAATGAGGAGCTGGTTCTTTTTTAAATTACTTCTCGACTAAAACACGGTGCTATCTTAGAGTCACAGTTTCACAATTTTCTTGTATAAACTACCTCTTTACGATAATATCATTTGAAATAGGACTAAAAAGAAATTAATAATGAAAATTATAAAATATATTTCCTTCAAAACTTTCTCTGTCACATAGAAAATGTTAGCGGTGATAAGGAATGAACTTTTTTCAAGTTTAATATTGTACTGTGTTGTATCTTTATTAATATTCCATAAGTATACTGTCACTTTGGTTTGGCAGTTTCCAAAAACCTGCATATACTAAATTTGCTCCGACTATTAGAATTATTGTTTGGGTAAATCCAAACTAATATTTTAATTGCGAAATTAACTCTGTCTGTCTGTTTTTTCTTTACACCTAAACTACAGAACCTATTTGTGTGAAAATTGGTACAGATATAGTTTGGAACTCGACAAATGACATAGGATAGTTTTCTAATCAAAAATATGGAGCAGGTCACTATTCCATGCGAACAAATTCTCGTGCAAAAGCTTGTATTAATTTTTTTAGGAATTTCTCTTAAGGCCTGTTGTCTGCAAACCTTTAAATGTTACCTTATTAAAAGGAAACTGCAATCTTATGAGATTATTTAGATATGACAAGAATTAGTTAGCTGATAGTTTATCATGCAGATAATTATTATATTATCTTGTCACTACTGTTGATAACTGTGCTTTTATTGAATAAGTCTATTGCTATATTAAAATCATAGGAATAAATATAATTTAAAATAAGAAATGGCTAGTGTTTAAGGGGTATTTTTCAGTTAATGTGTTTTAATTTTGTAGCATTGCTATATAGTATAAAGCAGGGTCGTTTTCTCTGTCCCTATACCCCTAACTGCCATAGATTTTGACTTGTTTTTTTTTTATAATGACCATAAGTAGTTGAGCAGTGGGTAAAATTGCAAAGATAAAGTTAGAACAGAATATAAGATTACAGCTGTAGTAATATATTTAGGGTGTATCAACCTATAACCATTACATATTCCAGAACCTGCTGTGTTAGTGCATCATTTTCATTAAGTTAGCCTTGTATTTGTAGATAATTACCCAAGTAGTAGTGTGTTAAATATGCCAATTATTAATGCATGAATTGGTACCTTGACACACTTGTAAGGAAGCCCTATTCATCTATGAATTAACTAGTTAAAACTTTAACATTCTACTTTTTTTGTTGATAACATTAATATATTTTACTAAGTATTTATTATGTGAGAACCTAAAGTAAAACTATGTTGTTCTTGGGGAAGTCGACTCATATTTACCTGATACAAGAGCGAGGTCGTCAACTCGCTTGAATCGGCCTATCATTTGCCGATGCCTAACTATTTCCCGCGCCAACTGCCTGTTTACGCCGGGCAGTGTCATCAGCTGCTCCTCCGTCGCCGTGTTCACGTTCATCAGCTCTGGGTAGTCTTCGGAAGGCGGCAAATTGAACGTGTGACTCAAACTGGATTTGTTCAGTTTGCTTCGACGTACGAACCTCCGGAACGAGCTCCTCCGTCCACTTTTGCTCAACACGGAGCTTGGACTTTGCCCCATCTCGTTGGCCGCCACTTCGAAATTATATATCGATCATAACTACACTAATTTTAAATTTCACTATAGACATTTGATGAAAAAGAAACTATTAATAGATTCTTACGTTACTCACTAGCACAGAAAAATCACGAGCACTTTTAGGTATTAGAATAAACAGCCTATTGTAGCACTTATCACGGCATTTATCTCCTTGTAATCATGAAAATAATTACGGTCACAGGAAAATACACTACAGTAGCCACATACAGCTCCTCGTCATCAAATAAAACGCAACAATGAAATGAAGTTACAAAAAGTGACTGAAGTGACAGCTAAAGTGTCAAAAGATAACGAATAGTGATGTGCGAAATATGTAATAAAATACTCGACATTATAGTATAAGAAATAAAAATTCGATTGACATAAAAGAAAATCATAAAATGATCATTTTCTCTGTTCAAAATGATTAACAGAGTGATGAATATCGGTGTCTTTCCAACTTTAAACACTAGAGTGGCTGTTCGCCTAACCAGAAGTGAAGCTGGCTCACTTTAAATATAGATTCATATGAAGTACTTATTTACAGCTTGGCAAAAAAGAGTGTGGAATTAATGAGGTCACCAGTATCGCAACTGTGGCAACCCGGAATACTACGACTCGACAGATTTTGATACTTGTTATTTTTGAGAACATGATTTCAATCAGGATTGAATCCTAAGTGAGGGGTGCAGTCCTTTGAACGCTTTAATGTCCAGTATTAACAATGTTAATAGAGAACGCTTAAGCATTGTACGAAATCGGATCAGACTTACTAGACCGCGCCACCACTCACCTAAAGATAAAATGCCCCAAGGGCAATCTAACAGTGAGATTGTTGTTGTGCATCGAGATCTGGTGAATGTGTTGTTTGTAAGAAGCGCGCGCGACGCGGACGCAGAAATTTGGAAAAAAGAGCCATAAATTAACTAAAATTCGCGGGTTACTTACGTGTACATGTTGAGAAAAGCTCTACTAGTTTCGAACCACAGAGGGGTTCTTCCTCATGAGCAGCGTGCGCGGACGCGGCGACGTCGCGCAGCCTACTCCGTACACGTGAGTAACCCGAATTTTAGTTAATTTAGTATGTCTCACGATAGTTATTATAAAAACAAAAAGAGCCATGTACGAAATGCACATACGCCGTTCGCAAACGGCGCATTCGCCAGATCTGGACGCAACATTAGTAATTGACGAATAGTTTACAAGGATAATGAGTGAACACGTTTTGTTTGAAGTTTCAATTTAATTAAAAACAAAAAAAAAACAATAAGTTGAATCGTATATCTCTTGCCTTTTGAAATATTGTGTTTCACTCCGCTGACATCAACTGACTGCCAACATTTTTTCAGCTTATATGATGAATGAATATAACTTTCATCCAAATATAATATTTGATTTTGTAGTTCTTCAGGGAGGTTTCACGGCTTCCATCATAACCTAAGTCCTCTCTAACTACCGGCAGTAAATTTCTCAATGTAGGCACCTGAAATATGATATTTTGTTATAAATCAGCTTTTTTTAATTAATGAAATCTGGAGTAGTCTGTGTATTAACTAAAATTCGCGGGTTACTCACGTGTAAATGTTGAGAAAAGCTCTACTAGTTTCGAACCACAGAGGGGTTCTTCCTCATGAGCAGCGTGCGCGGACGCGGCGACGTCGCGCAGCCTACTGGTTAGCGTTGGCCACTGGTGAACGTACCGTGCGCCTCAACATCGTCACACGCGCCGCCGCCGGAGATGGCAGCAAACGCGCGTGGTATCCGGCAGATGGCGCGCTGGACTCGCCGCAGCGCAACCATCAACAGCGATGCAGGCGCCAACGCTAACCAGTAGGCTGCGCGACGTCGCCGCGTCCGCGCACGCTGCTCATGAGGAAGAACTCCTCTGTGGTTCGAAACTAGTAGAGCTTTTCTCAACATTTACACGTGAGTAACCCGCGAATTTTAGTTAATTTAGTATGTCTCACGATAGTTATTATAAAAACATAGTCTGTGTATAAACCATAAGTACCTGCTTTTTCACAGTGTAAAAGAAATGAACCTTTTGTCTAATTGCACACAAATCGAAATCATCCAAATCTTTCCTCGGGCGACCTTTGCAATGTTTACCCGGTGTTGAAAAAATACCATTATTTTTTTCACCTTCCTGAACAATTTTTCTTATTGTGTTGACAGATTTACCTAAAAATAAGAACAGTATTTTATTATTAGATCCATGTTCAATAAACTACAAGTTTCTTGTCTTGAAGGTTGGCGTATACGAAACATGTCAAACTACAAAACATAACCTAAATTTTCAATTTATATAAACAACAATAAAAGTTACATAAATCTGGGTATCTACAAAACAACGCACCGAAAACATATTTAAGACCATATTTAAGGTATAATGTCTTGTTTAAGGTGCATAAATACCTGTCATATCAGCAGTTCTTTGATAAACACTTCCTATATCGGACAAAACTTGTCCCGCTTGAGATTCGGCCAAACACCGCAAATAAACGTGGTAAATCACTGATCTGCCACTACTACGAATAGTTTTCTTCATTTTAAATCGTTAGTTTTCTAGCGAAAGTTGATATATATTTTAAATCTTTGAAAAACACTTAGAAAAGACTCACTGTTGACAAAGAATGTACTAGCAGTTGACAAGTGAAGCAATGTTGCCTCAAACATCGCTTTTTAATTCCAACTGTCACCGCGTCAGACTCTTTTTTGCCAAGCTGTACATTACTTGAAAAAAATTGCTTTGCAATTTTAGAATTAGTAATTTTATAAATAAAAACTACTGTTTTGCTTTTCACCTCACTACTAAGAGCATTTTGACATTTCGACACTTGACGACAGAGAATAAATAAGCCACAGAGTACATTTTAGTAATAGAAAGAAATAAGAATAGGTAAGTTAAGCAGCATCAGATCTGGGTAGATGCTGTTTTGCCTATAACAGCCTAATGCTTAGCTTAATTATTTGGCTTAGTGTCTATCCTATGGCAAAATTAAATCTATTTTGTAGATACTGACTATCAAATTGATCGACATGACCTTTGACAATAACCTACTGTGAATTGAATTACAATTTCTTGTACCTACTTAATAATGAAATGATCAAATTACCAATTAAACAATGTAAAAAGAAGTGATCCCGAATCTGTTACTTGCCGTCATGAACACCAAGTTTCGGGCCCTGGTCATAAACTCCAAGATAGGTATAGATTACTTGAACTCTTCAATTTTGTTTTATTTTTGTCCGAATTCACACAACAACATGAGAGACAGCAACTCGCATTCCATCCATCCGCAAAAGTGAGAATATTTAAATCCAAATGTCAAAAACGATTCTTAAAAACTGAGTTATGACGTCATAGTATTTTTGCGTCAAATAGCTCAATATGTTAATAATTAGTTAAAAAAATTCTAAAATTTAGTATATCGATCGATCGATGAATAAAAGTATAGTTATTTTACAATATTTTATTGTATTGAAACGTCGAATTTATTATTGACCTAGTAGGAAACTACCCAATTAACCAGCTGTACCTAAACAAATACGGTAGGTATTAGGTTAGCTTTTTTGAGGTCACTGTTCCGTTTCCCAACAAAACCTTATAAATCCAATGATGATCATATATTTGACTTGAATTACTTTTTATATAAAGAAATGGGTTATTTTTAAAACCTATTACATATTTTTACTTGCATATTTTCATGGTATGTGAGTGTTCCTGGTTATGTTATAAATCAAATCCCGAACCGAACCCTGATATTATCGTGTTAAAATATTAATTGAATATTATTAGTACCTAAGTAACTAAAACCCTGTTGTTGTTCGGTGGCATTATAGACATGTATGGCGATCAGGCCTACTGCATCACGCCACGGATTAAGCAGACAAAAATTGGACCTTTGTATCTATTTTATTTTAGACTAGCTACTCTCACACGGTTTCACGCTGCTCAGCTCCATTTAGCCGTAGCGTGATGTTTTATAGCCTATAGCATTCACGTATGAACATTGTAGCTATCTAAAGTGAAAGAATTTTGGAAATCCGACTAGCGGTTCCAAAGATTACCCCCTACATAGAAACTTACAAATTTTACCTCTTTATAATATTAGTATAGATTTCTGTTACTAATAGCACAAAAAATAAAACACCAAAATTGATCAGAACAGTTTCCATGCTAGTTTATTCAAATTATGTACATAGTATCGCCTATAAGCTTACATTAGACATAACCGCCGCTACAAAAGTGTTGATAAATCACTGCATTAGCTCTGTAAAAGGAAATAAATTTACAGAGATGAGTGTGTGATAAGATTTTGAAAGTTTGGGAGCCAAAAATTTATACTATTGCCTAGTTATATTACAAAAAAAACAGTTTTGGATGAGGTTAAGCTAAATATTTTCTGGTAGAGCCTAATACGCTTGGAGCGCCATCTATGTATGTTTTGGCAGCTTCTGTCAAGATTTTACAAGTATCTAATATAATTTAGTCATACTTCTCCCAATTAGAATGACTTTTGACTGAATTGACGATTTATTTTGGAAATAGTAGCAAGAGTGCTGTTAGAGGTATTGATAAAATGGTAATAAATATGAATTAAATTTAAGCTAGAGGCGTTAGTATAAATCTTTGGCCCACAAAGCTGCTGACCGATTATATTACACCCAAATAGTGAGATGGAAAACATAATATTCATGTCACCAGTACATAAATATGGATGCCCACTGTCTGCATTTTATTACAATTTTTAAAATTCCATATTATCATAAATACTTTTTATACACTCAAATACAAATTAATCGTTCGACCTTGGCCATTAGACCATCGCGCATCGCTTATAGATTAGTAATATTTTTCTTTAAATAACATAGTTAAACTAAAATGTTTCTGCTATTAAATATTGAAATCTAACCTATTGCAAAGCGTAACAAAAATTATCTTCTGAGAATCTAACTAATCACTAAGCCTTTTAGCTTCAACTGTTTTAATTACAACCGAAATGGCATTGTTTTATTAAACAGCCAACTATTAATTTTATAGTCTATTTTAATAAATAGGTACTTTTTTTAAATTTATCGAAAAAATAATGAATTAAATTTATAGTTGCGTTTTCTTTTTTTAAATAAACTAAACAAAGTTCAACAAAAAAGGTTTTTGTCTTTCTTTTAACAGTTGAGCGGGAAACAACAATAATCTATGCCTATATGAGGATGTTATGTGGCTAATTAACACATGATGTAAAGAACACGTTACAAGGAAATCATTTTGTTCTACATAAAAAATATATCACAGAAAGAGATATAGGTAGTCGTTAATCGATATAAAACCAACTGTTATTTGACTAGTATATAAAATAATGTTAAAATACAGAAAGTAAATGAGCAACAAAAATTATCAGCGACATTTGTATTATCGAATCATCATTGTTGAATAGGTACACGAATTTTGTCAAGTTAGTACATAGGGTTACACTGCAGTTATATAAAAATACTTGATTACTATCCATAATAAATATTATACGTATAAATAGACGACCACGTTAACACGGAGACACTTCCTTTAACAACTATATAGATAGAAGTACCACTTCAAATTATCCGGTCAAAATAATCGAAGAAACCGTCCACGGTTCACATGATACATGTATATCTATGTTATAAATTATGCATTTTAGCCACCTAACATTTAATCCCTCTTATAAAAATAGACAATAATCCAGCCTTTAGCTTCAAACCACATCATTTACTTGTACAAATATTTCATATCAAAACTTGCCAATACCTCGCCTCTATCATACAAATGAGTTTATTATTATAACATATTTATTTTGTGATTTTTGACAAAATTATTTATTATTAACACTATCGAAAGCTACGCTGAGTATGCATTAACTGAAAAACCTATACTCCTGTTACATTTTTTATGGAAATAAAATTAATTATTTGTAGTTCACTAGGAACGTTTACACGCTGTATGCGTAGGTATTTATAAATCAATTGATATTGCATTAAAACGAAATTTATAGAACAAATTATAGACATTTCTAGCTGCCAGAGCACTTAAACTCGAAGATGGAGATCAACACAGTATTACAAAAGCGTGCATATTATAAGTTTGTCAAAAAACACTTTGCTAAAATTAATTAATACCTAAGCTATTCGTTAATAAGTTATAAATTGAAAGATATTTAATTAATCAATATAAATACTTATTAAGTTAAGGAAAAGCCATGCTCTTACTTCTGTTACCATTTGAATTTACTATATTGTTAAGTACTCTAAGATATGAATCCGTACTTTGTAACAAAATTTATTTTTGGTTTAAAATAAGAATGTTTTGTTGGAATAATAGTGACCTTTAATGCAAGCCGTCCGATCGACGCGAGAGAGAGCGCAGGCAAGAAACGTTAAATGAAACTCCATTGTATAATTAATAATAATTTTACTATTACAATAAGCACCAAACCAGGTTTGGAATGTTCAGTATTGCACCACATGAGAACAAAATCCAATTAATACAGTCACAATGTAAAAACAACAATAGATAAGGATTGGGATAGTAAAAAAAATATTCCAAATAATTAATATATTTCCATAATAAATAAATTCGGTTACCACAACACAATAAAGGTCACCATTGAGTCCAATTTAGGAAGCGAATCTAAAATACAGGACGAGCAAAAAAAAAAAACAATTATTTAAAAAAAGTTTTACAACATATATAAATAATTATTAGCCATACACTGTTGAATGGTTTGTACAAATAGTGACTTCATTGTGCATAAAACCATCTGTCATTGCACCGCCAGTCTTTTGGAGGATCTCGTCAAGACCTCCGTAATCTCAGATGATACCAAAACCTTTCACTAGGATTATTTTTTTATTTCGTGTCGTTTTCCAAATTAGTGTTTCGTAACACGAATCTATTTGGGCAGTCTCAATACTGTGTAAGGAGACATAATTTTATATGGAACAAATTTCATTACAAAATCGAATTTATCGAATTAGCAAGAAAGCTTAAAATTGTGTTAAGACTTTCTTGGACATTCTGTCAAACAGGAAACACCTTTATTTTGTCAATAAGGACTGTTCTGTTTGCTTTTCACTGCTATTTGACAGTTCACACCAGTCCAGAGAGCGACTAAATTGAAGGGATTAATTCATCTTCTTGATTCACAGATGTCGCCCCAAAAGATTAGTGTTACCAAACATTTACAAAAAGACTATCTAAATAAATACTTATTTTAATATCATAAAACAAATGTTACAAATAAAGGCTGCGTTTTAATTAGAAAATTAAACTCGCATTTAGTTTCGATAGAAATGGAAATGTATGATAGTTGTTCCTATATCTAGGGATGGGACATTTGGGTTTAATGATTTTAATAAAATCGTTTTTTTTTCTTTAAAAATTTAATATTTAGCGCAGATTCGCAAGCGCATTGAAGTATGAATGTGAAATATCATAGCAAATTCACTCTTAGCCCTTAACAAATAATGCGCAAATTCCTTGTGAGATAAAAACAGGACTTTTGACGTGATTTGAGCGTCTGTTTTATTACTTGTTATGGACTTAAGGGTGAATTTGCTGTGACATTTTGATGCGCCACAAGACCGGGGTCTGAATTGACTCTAAGACTTTACTTTTATGTGCATTCAGCATGTGTAAAGCAAAGCAATAATCCGTTGGGATATCGAAAGATTTGGTGCAATTTACTTACAAAATAAAAGCTACATTGAAATTGGAATGACACAAAACTGCAAAGCTACATACAAATTTCTAATTATACAAATACTGATAAGAAATATTTTATATTTTACGTTCATAACTTTCCTCTATTAAGAATCTTACTACCCGAACGGGCCTTTTCAATAGTTATAGATACATTACATAATAGAGAGCGAGTCATTAAGACTCAATATTAGTACCAATTATTTATCATCTAAAACCTGAATAACTAATTTGCCCGACTCAAGATAATCCAAGTTTATCTTTATTAATCTCTTGGGTTCAACAAATTTCGATTTAACAAAAACATAGCAGAAAAATCGTTACTTACAATTTACATATCGTAATAATACTAATTTTCAGACTAGATTAATTTTAAATCGAGATTTATTTGAACCTAGGTCCCAAAATCTCAAACCCACAATGTCCCAAGCCCTAACGAGTTAATTTTACAATATTATTAATTATTATAAAATCTAAATTGTCGTTACATAATACAATCACTAATCGCCATTGTTGGTTATCATGGTGATTCTATGTCGTGGTATGTCGGCAGAGAGTTGCATACTGTGAAAATTATACTGCATACTGTGAAGTTTATCAAATTTCAAAAGGTATTGTAATTGAAATTATAACTACTTATAATAACGAGACAATAAAACTCAATTACGACAGCTAGTTGACTTAATTTTGCGCAGCTTTGCGCAACATTTGCGCAAATGATAAACGGGGCTTGAAATCATCAATAGACATTTAAATATATTGAAAATTCAAGTAAAAAACAGATATCACAACAATTCAATTTGACAACGCGATTAATACTTTGCATAAAAAATGTAAATTGGCAACATTAATCGCAGTGTACAACTCTCGCCGACATTTGGAACGTTTTTTGAAAGACTGACACATCAGAGCTGCCTTAATAAACTAACAGCTACTAAAATATTTATTTATTTGTGTTTGTAACACAAAAACTTCACGGATTCGTTGTATCTACGTTGATCTAGAGATTCACTTGATTATGGGGCGGTAATGGATATTAAGTGCGGTATAAATGTGAATTGAATTAGCAAAGCAGTTGGAACATGACCTTTGTTTTAAGGCAGCGCTTTTCTTTTAGCTTATACTTTGCGCAAATACCCGATAAACTAGTGACGAGAATATCGCATTTGAAATGTCGACATAGCCCGCTTAGCTATCAAATATTTGCGACCTGCAAAACTTAGGATGCCTTAAAACGAAAGGCGCAAAGACAGAGAAAATCTGTCAAGTGTAGACTTATCTCTATTTATTATGCGTTTACAAGGTCGAAGGGATAAATTGGAATAATTGAGGCAATCTTTCAAAAATCCGCGTGACCACGCGTTAAGTATAAACCGATACGTATGTCGCCGATGTAAGCCACGAGGAATCTCTTGTGTAACGGTAGCTTACCGAGTGGCGGACTGCAGTAGAAGCCAGCGTGTAGGATCGTCGGCGCTCAGATAGCGGCGCGATTACGGACCTTTAAGCCCGCCGCACTACGTTTACCTGAAATTTATAAGTTTATTTTTTAATACATGATTATTTGGCGATTTTAAATTCACTGAAACACAGTGGTAAGATGTGAGGAAAACCAGTCAGTCCAGTGGTCTCTAGTGAAGCTAAGGCGAAAGGAATTTGCTCGTTACTTACGCCCCCGTTTTTGTTAAATAATGAATTTATTTATGCATATAGGCCATAAAACGGCATTTTTTACAAGTCAAAAGGCACATTGCTATTAGCTGGTATCGTTTTAGTATTTTAGTGGATACACAAATTCTTTAGTATTACTTTGTGTGAATAGTTTTAAGTGTAGCTAGCCTTTTCGAACTTTTATGAGGCGTCCAAGATTAAAGATCTAAAATCGACAAATGACGGCACAAGTCTTGCATAGCGAAGTGAAGCTTGTGCGCAAAATAATACGGCAAGACAACCCCAATTACTACGCTACTGTTGGGTAGTAACTCGCTTGGAGTAATCAGATGGCCTGATTGGAGGATCTGTTTTGGATTTTGAAGTAGTTTATACTTAGTTTGCCTTAGTGTTATATACGATAATAGACCTGACCTGTGGATTGCGCTAGCAGTCCGAGGATGAGTTGAGGTCGATGGGCGGCGGGGGCGCGGCGGGGCGCGGCTTGGCGCGCGTGAGACGGTCGAGCTCGGCGGCGGCGTCGGACCGCGCCGCGGCGGCCGCGGGCGACGCGTCGCCGCGCCCCGCCGGGGACCCTGTCTTCTTGTACAGCAGCGAGTTGAAGAAGTTCGCCAGCACGCCCTCGTTGCCTGGCGTGCCCGGACCCATGCCGATCTTGGCGCCGTCCAGCTAAGAAATAAAAGACACTTGGTAAATAACAAGTGATATATTTATAATATTATAAATGCGAAAATAAGTCAAATTATAATGATTTCTGTGTGGTTCTCTTAAAACTCTGAAATTATTACATGTCATATGGTGTACCATCTATAGATATAATATATATTTTCAGAAAAGATAGAATAATGTTTATGTTTATACGCTAGATGAGACAACCTCTTATCTCACCCAGGGCGAGAGGGGAAGGAGGTTGTTCAGAAATACATATTATTTTTGATTTTTGTTTTGAAACGTTGCCCTGCACTGGGATTTTCTCCTGTGTCGTGAATTCAAACATTCAAATCCACATACACATCACACCCAGACCCGGAACAACAATTTGTGGATCACACAAAGAGTTGTTTTGTACGGGAATCGAATTCGCGAAACGTTGCGCGGCACCTAGTTGCCTAGTCACAGCACTAACCGTGCAGTCAAATTAAACCGCTAAGAGCGGCGGTAAACAAAAAAATATGGAGTTAAGTTATTATTACCTGTGCGGCGGACCTCTGCGTGGCGCGGAGCGGGGAGTCGGCGCGTGGTGCGGGCGCGCCGGCCTGCAGCGCGGCCAGCTGACGCTGCAGGAACGCCTGCTCGTCCTCCGCCTGGACCTCCGCCTCGCGGTTCGCGCCGCTCTGACAAAGGTTATCATTTACAGTTAGTAATCTATACTAATATTATAAAGCTCAAGAGTTTTTTGTTTGAACGTGTTAATCATAGAAACTACTGGGTCGAATTGAAAAAATATTTTTTTTGCTGTTTAGATTACTTATCGCTATGATCTGTAGGAGCCGAGCAGCGGGTGAAACCGCGCGAGGAGAGTAGTTAAGTTCTAATATTATGATTTAAAACCTAAGTGGGCCAAAATGCCCCGGTTATATTTATACAAATGAAACATATATGCAAAATTTCAGCTAACTCGGTATTAAAAAAAAACTTTACAAACGTATGTTGCTGTTTAATAAAAACTTGTAATTAAAAACGAGTTAGTATATTAACTATTAAGTACTCTCGTAACTTTTGTTTAACGTGATAACCCGACTGGTTTCAGTTCATTTTAGGCTCCTAGGGTGATTCGAAACTAGTCCAGTAACCTCGTCAAATAGCTGCTCACTCTGATGATATTTCTATTTACCCCCACCTTATAAGGCCTATACGACTTAATACTACCGGTGGAAACCAAGTTGGGGGGCAAATGAGAATAACTCAGTAAATTGTTCACCACACTTGATGCACAAGTGATAACGTAAATAATGGTACCACTTGAACAATTTATACTAATATTATAAAGAGGTAAAATTTGTAAGTTTGTATGTAGGGTTAATCTTTGGAATCGCTGGTCGCATGTCCAAAATTCTTACACTGATAGATAGCTACAATGTTCCTGAGTGCTATAGGCTATAAAACATCACACTACGATCAAATGGAGTCAAGCAGCGAATGAAATCGCGCGAGTAACTAGTTTCAAATAACTAAAAAGAAAACATATTTCGCCTAGTATCGTCTTTTGTCAAATATCTTCATATTATTGTTTTTTATTGAAGAAACACAAGACAAATTCTTTTCTCAATTTCAAACATATTAATTAGTTAGAACTCACTTTCCGTATAACGGGCTGCACGATAATATCTCTGTAGTAATCGTCTGGCTTACACGTCTGCATGTTCTCATACAATATACTAATTTTCTTCATGCTGTCCCAGCCAGCCGGTCTGAAACAAATTTCAAACACAACTTTATACACTTTTTTACTCATAAAACTACTTGTATTTAACAATTAGTAGTAATTTTATTACGGGGTATTGATGTTAAACTAAGCAATCAACGACATCTGCAACATCAGTGAAATTGCAAGTGAGTTGCCTTCCTTTTGGGGGTTAGCGATTTAATGGGGGATGGGGGTGAACGGTTTTGCTCCCGGTAGGCTCACTAGGTAGGCAGGTAGACAAGTGTTGTTTCACGCTGGTTTTCTGTGAGGCCGTAGTATCAAGAGGGAGGATCAGAGAGGTTTCGGCCTCCGGTAGCCTCATTCATACAACACAGGCAGGTGTCCTGTTATGTTCACGCCACTTTTGAAATAACATTTGCCTTGTGTGAGGCCGCAGTATCACTGGTCGAGCAGGCTTATTCGACTCTGGTGGCTCTCTCGCTTACTCGCCTACATAAACACTTTTCACACTAAGCTTCACCAATGAAAAAAACACTTCTATTTCGAAATGTATGTTTCAAAAGTACTTTTTCAAAAAATATCAAATAAATACTCACATCAAAACTGCATCCTTTTCCACAATAAGGGCAGGCGTCCTAAACGGCAACCCATATATCCTGTGAGTAAGATATTTGTATAGCAGGTCACAGTTCTTATCCTCCTTGGCGCTGGTGTAGAAGAGAGCGGCTCCGTATTGAAGACAGAACCTTCGGATCCACTGCTGCATGAAGTCAAAGTTTTCGTCGCGATAATCGTGTTCTTTCTCTAGGGTGCTCATGTAGTCAGTCTGGGGAATTTTTATGGAAGAGTTTTATATAAATATGTAGATAGGAATTAGATTAAAAAAAAAATCATTTCCCCACACTTGCATTTTTCCTGTGTCGTGGGTGCGTTTACAAACATACAATTTCACATCCACATCAGACCATACCCGGAACAACAATCTGTGGCTCACACAAAGAGTTGTTCCGTGCGGTAATCGAACCCGCGACACGTTTGAATTCGGTTGTATTAGGTCGGCCTGTAACAAATCTATATTCATATAAGAAAGAGGAAAGATTTAACTGTTTGTTTCTTTTATTAGCCTATGTTCAATGGGGATAAAGTAGCTTCAAAATGTTGAAAGATATTTTAAAAGCTGTCAAGTATTAATTGTGGTCGCTATTCAATTCAAGCAATTAAGTGTTTCCTCTTAGTAATATGAATATGGATAGATTTGTGTTCAATATGGTGCATATTGTATGATCATCATTCAAACTGGAATTAAAAGTTGGCTGATTGGGTACATTCGATATTTATGTGCATTTAGCCTTGTGTGCCTTCCAAAGGTCTGGAATCCTATGATATTTTTATGCTACAGTTCGGCAAACGAAAAGACGGATTACCTGATGGTAAGCAATCAGTGTCGCCCATGGATATCCGCAGTAGCAAAGGAGTTACGAGTGCGTTGCGTTGCGTTGCCGGCCTTTTAGGGATAAGGGTTTTGAATATTTAAGGAATGGGGGGATTGCGAGGGGTTGGTCCTCCGGTAACCTCACTCACACGGCAAAACACAAGCTGTGGTTGTTTGACGTCGGTTTTCTGTGAGGTCGTGGAAGGAAACGTTAAGATAATTATATACTAACCTTAGTTGCCACAACTACAATATCAAGACCTAGATTAGTAGTAAGTACTCCTTCTGGCAGGGGGCTGTCGTCATCGTCCCCGTTCTCGAAGTCGTCCGAAAGATTTCGGGAGGACCTCTTCATTGGTGACGACGCTGTGGGCTCGAGCTCGTCGCCCGGCTCCGTATACCTCTGCCATTTCTGTACTTGTTGCTTTTTACTTTGTAACCTTTGTTCTGTAACAACAATAAAGACGTGTTTATAAGAAAAATGTTTCTGTTTGTGAGTATTAGTTGGGTGGATTAATTTGATAATATACCTTATGAGAAAAAAACGATAACTCTCATTAAAATTTTTTTTTACTTGCAATAAACTAGTTCTTGACTGCGATCCCACCTGATGGTAAGCAGTGATGCAATCGTTGATGGTAAGGCCCACTAGTTTATTAAGAGCCTATTCACTCTAGCCTTGAAGAACTATTTTTTTATAATATTATTTAAATAAAATAAAATAATTAATTAAAATACTTAAAAAAAACATAACTTGAAACTATTCGTTATGTTTTTCTGTAGAGGACACTTTGAAGCGACACCTGTGTGATGCCAATTTCTATAATAATTGCATTCTTCCAGCTTACGCAGGGCGAAACAATACTAGAAGTCGAAAAGACACTATGGCTCACTAGCGCCATCTGCTGTACGAAAAAAAAACAACATAATAAAATGATAATGAATCTTAATGCATGCAACACGCATACAAATAAGATACATAACATACTGCAGCGCGGTAATCTTGTCAGAAACTTCCACTTAACAAAATAGACTCAACTATAACACAGTAAGACACAAGATCAAAAAACACCCACTTATTCCCATATTCATAAAAATGCACTTGTTCACACAAATCATCTTGCGACGATTCATGTAGGTACTTATGTATGTACGTATTTAGATATATGTACATTCGATCTAGCTAATGATACAGCAATTCCAAAGCGACTCACAATTAAGATTCCGTATTGCAAAAAACCGAGGAAAATTTATTCAATACAAACACATCGCGCAGTTGTCGACTAAACTCTTTGAGCGGTATTTCGTTCAATTAACATTATTATTAAGTGATTGTGTATATGCTGCTAATAAATATAAGAGAAACGGAACATTTGTATTGTTTTTCGGAAATAGGTAAGTATATAGTTTTAATTTTTTTTATGGCGTGGGGCAGCTATCATCATCTCCGAAAGATACACGGAAAACCATAGACGTTTTATGTGCGTTACCGGCCTTTTTGGTAGTAAGATATTTGAATAATGGAAGATTCTGGGGAATTATTTGCTAGAACAGGCATTCAAACTGAGAAAACCTATAACTAACAGCCGGTTTTCATCAATAATTCACGAATTATTTCGGTCGAGCGAGTTATTCTGTTAAGCCGATGAATGTCTCTATTTACTTGCGCTCTGTATTCGATAGATGGGTAAAATATCGTTGTTTTCTGTCGTAATAATTAATTTGGTGAGGTACTTCAAGAGACCTCATTGGGGACAATTTTGTTATATTATTATAACGTATGTTATTGTAATTCTCTGTCAGGAATGGATGACTGTTATAGATATCTACACATTTCTTTAAATCTTGCCAGTTTTTGTTAAAAATGTTAGAGGAATGTCGATGAAATGGGTTTAAACATTATGCTGGTTAAACTGTTATCAGACGGGTTGTATGGATTGAGAAGCCAACATATTTAAGTGCATACAACCACTTCACCCTTTTGGGTAAAGTTAAGTATAGTCAAATATAAATCAAGTGTGGGAGAGCCATGCTTCGGCACGAATGGGTCGGCTCGACCGGAGTGATACCACGGCCTCACAGAAAACCGGCGTGCAACAACCACAGCGTTGTGTTTCGCCGTGTGAGTGAGGTTACCGGAGGCCCAATCCTTCCCCTCCCCCAATCCCTAAATCTCCAAATCCCGCGCAACGGAGGAGTCGCACTCGTGACTCCTCCGTTGCGCGTGTCCATGGGGGGGTGGGGGGCTGATTGCTTACCATCAGGTAATCCGTCTGCTCGTTTGTCGACCAATTAGGTAAAAAAAAATATAGAAAGCCGGGTGTAATATAGTATACGACGTAAAAGATTAAAAATCAAATACTAAATAGGTGTAGACTTTCAGCTGAAACAATGCTTCTGAAATAACAATCAGTAGTTTTACACGAAGATGTGCAGACACGCACCGCGCTAATTGTGCTATTAGTCATATGTAATAGAGAGCTAGATTATTATTTTGAACAGTCGTGCTAAAATCCGGACATCGTCGATAAAATATGCAAAAAATTGTAAATGTTTCCTGTATCGTCTGCAGATGGCGAACCAGGGTAGCTTACCTCCCAAAGAGAACCAGAACCAAGCGTACCGGGCGCGCCCCTTAATCTTTCAATCGTGGTAATTCGAGATCGGGATTTGATGAATTAAAGAGACTGTAGACCACCAGTGATGGGGCCTGACCGGGCCGATGTTGAGCCAGGGTTGCGAGTTAAACACAACAATGTGTCGCGGCTTCGGCCTAGAGCCGGAGAAGGAATGGGGCAGTTTTTAGTCTCACATACCTTTTCGCCCCACGTAGGTCGAGAATAGTCTTTTGGTGCATTTCCAATCTCAAAACAAAAAAAACCTGTTTCCTCCTTAAACTGCAGATCTGATACAACTGCACAAAACTTTTATATACCCACCATCGTATCAGTTATGTGAAAATCAAGGTTCTTATCAAACTACATAAAATTGGATTTCCTTTAAGCCAAACTACGGCAATATTGCAAAGGTCCAAAAGCCTAAGTTTCCATAGCAACTTGCGACTTTTCCATGATCACAATGTAATAAAAATCTACCCATAGGTAAAACCATATGACGCTTAGCAGTTTATTGGTTGCGAAAGATGACGTCACTGCTATAAAGAGGGGTGAATATTGCGTGCACCAAGCCAAAGCGATCTTAGATGGAGACAGAGGGGCGCGACAGTATACGTAGGTAGTACATACTGTTGTGCAATTTTGAAGCCATCATGGCGAATTCTGGCAAAAAGCATAGGTCGATTTTTTCGAAGACCAGTTCTTAAATTTTTGACGATAAATTACATATTTTGCCGATGTTGATTATTAAGAACTAAGAACCGAATAATTTAAGGTCATTTGGTGCAACTGCACCAAATGACATAACATTTTTGTCATATGCATACTGTAAGGACAAGGTTCATATGAACGAAACATAAAAGTAAATCAGAGAAAGTCGGAAAACAGCACCCGAGCGGAAAACGGGGCGGTTCGCTAGTGAATGTGCAAATCTTCCAAATCTATACAACAGAATTGAAAATCCGAAACTGGTAGAATTTAAAACTTATCAATTTTAAACTGACGAAATTATGTAGAAATTATGTAAGAGATATTTTTAAATGCTAGAAAAGAATAGATAATCCTTTATATCGTACCTACAACCAAACTTATTGAATGTTTTCTAGTTGCATTAATAAAGTGGAGATACTTTATGTCTTAGAATCAGTATCCAATTGTACATCCATTTATTAATAAAGATACATACATTATTAAACGTACAAGTAAAAGTCCTTATCAAATATATTAATTGTACTGAATAAATAATGCGTAGTAAACATTGGATTCTCATTCTCACAAGATCAACGACTTGTGACAAATAAATCGGTATCTATTAATACCTCTATATTATTTAGTAATAACGATCACGGATAAACATAATGCCAGACGCGACCTTTGTACACATGTCACGATGATAGACTACGTTCGACGTATTAATAAAGAAAAGGAAGAAAAGATACTTTATTTACATCTTGAAAGAGTTGGGATTCGAGTTTTAGTATGGTGGCGCATACTTTTGCTTGTTGCACTTTTAATAATTTGGTCTTTCTTTAACTAATGAATGAAAAAGCTACGTTGACAATATTTTGTTTTCGCAAGTTTGGGTTCGTTTTGGCGCCCAGTGCTATAGTGACAGCCCTACCCTAGGATTGGCCCTGATTGACACTCAAAAAATGTTTTCACTTAAGTTATTAAAGTAGCCAGATTTATCAAGCTGAAAATAGGTCTTAGGCTAAGAACTCACGGAGCGATTTTGAACCGTGCCCGCCGCGGTAGCGGAACTGCGGTTTTATTTCCAAACTCACGAGACCGGTTATTTGCGCGGTTACACAGCCGCCGCGGTTGCGATCCTCGCCCGCAAACGCCCGCAAACCGCGGCCCGCGCGATTCTACTAGTTGCCCGCCGGTACAGCGGGAGCCGCATACAACCGCGTACACCGCGGGCGTAAAACGCGTCGTGAAATGTGCTTTAATTTTTTATATAAATATTTGAATTCTACAGTAGCTGCGGGCCCGCAACCGCAGCGGACGCGGGCGAAAATCGCTCCGTCAGTTCTTAGCCTTAATTTTTTCTAGCTCTTTTCAGAGTTTTTTTTAACTGAAATAAAATACTTAAAAAACATAAATCTACAACTTTCCTAGATTTAGGTCCAAATAGTCATATAAAATGTATGACCATCGGATTCCTATCTCGTTTTCATAAGGTTTGAATAAATAATGACGAAGGTTTTCACAGAATGTTCGTGTCCCCAAGGAACGTTATAACAACAATGTTATACGGCCTTTGTATGCTTTTAGAGCTTTCCTAATTTGTATCTATCCAAGAGAGAATAACCTATCAATCGTCGTAATATGAAACACAATATAAGAACAATAGATGTGCGAATGCTGGCGTTCGCTTGGGGTTTGGTTAATTCAGGGCTGATGATTACAGAATGTCTGAATATCCACTATGTTATAGTATATTATAGTATGTATATGTCCACTGTTATGTCTATATTGTAAGATAGGTATATTGATTTACTAAGCGCGCTGCATGTCCCCACCCGTCAGTCGCAAATAAACAGTCTTGAATCAATCACGCATTTTAACTTACCAAACCCTGCTAAGCAACCCTCAACCTTAATTACAAAAACATAGTGGTCAAAATCGAGCCGCATAAAAATCAGAAAAACTAGTTATCGAAGATACCGGGCAGCCGGCGAGAACAATACCGAGCCGCATTCCAAAGGTCATTAGTGAACAAATAACAGCAAAAAAAAGGTGCGATGAGTACTAACGAGCTAATAAACGTTTTAGAAGACACTGCCACATTATTACAGAAAACGCAAGTAAATATAAAGAAATGTGCTA